ACGTGTAGTCTGCCCCGAGACGGCCGTGTTTCCCTGGCCGAGTGCGGGGGAAGGATCTGTCTCTCCGGCTTGTACTGCGCCGCTCTCGGGGGCGTGAACTAGAAGGTCGCCATTCAAGGAGGCAACAGCTCTAGCCCAGACTTCTATGACAACACCACCGTCGTGTCGATCAAGCGTCGCACAGGGGCTGCACGGAGTTGCAATAAACTCCCAACCAGGAGGGGCATGCGCATCGAGGGCCTCAAGGGCCGCATGGGCACGTACTTGCCAGGGTGCAACGTGGAGGGAGAAGCATCCTTGCAAAACACGCCTGGCGTCAACGATGAGAATCTCTTCCCTGTCGCCGATGCATCCATCAAAGATGCCAACAATATTGTCACATGCAACTCCTCGTAGTGCAACTGGGCTTGCTGTCACGCACGGACGAGAGATCTCAAGCTCAGGCTCCAGAACGCCGAAATGCTGTGCAACAACATTCCGATCTAGGGGTTCCTGCCCGGGTTGCAGACACAGTGCACCATTGCCTCCGCTACCTAGACAGCACACAAACCCGTCTGCCTGCTGGCATGGTAGCGCAGCTACGCCATCCCATGCCACAATGGACTCCAGAAGTCCAGCTAACGAGAAAATCGCATGCGTGCGTTGTCCTCTAGGAACGAAACTGACACAATACCCCGAGTGCAAGCTAGCGCTCTCTCCGTCATGCAATGGAGAGTCGGAGCCAGGTGTCCAGATCCACACGTCCGCAGTCTGCGGCAAACCAGCAGCCGCCAAGAGACTATCACGGTCGGCCCTGCTGGGAACGCACGAGGCAAAGATCCGACCGTCAACACGTCTCACGTCTAGACAAATGCACACATGATCCGCAGCAAAGCCGGGCAGAGCCAGCAAGGCTCCACAGTATGCGACGGGCTGTGGCCATATGGGCACAAGGGTTGGGAAGCCTTCGCGCCTGTCACCTTCTCTGCCTATCTGCAAGGTGTTGAGAATTCGGCCAAGGCTGGTCGGGATGGCAATGCTGCACCTGAAAACCTCATGGATGAAATCAGGAGTGAAGCAAATGAAGGTAGCATCACATTGGACCTGATGTTCAGAGTCCTCGCTGACACCGCCGTGATCCAGTGATGCCTCAGACGACCCTGGCGGTGAACGGCTTCGCGAACGGCCTGTGTCGTTGGGTGATCGTGGGGAAGGATCATCAATGGGATCAGGTGAGGGGTCTCTGCCACGGTCATCCGGATTCCAGGCATGGTTGCCGACATGGTAGCCATCCCATGCACGTGCCGGCGGCAGCTCGTCATCAGTAGTCAGGGGCACGTATGACGCGACAATGACGATTCCTGGGGCAACTGGAAACTTGCCCTCAGTAACATCAATTGGGTCCAACTGCAGCTGCCATCCTGGCGGAGTAAACGTGTCCAGCACATCGAGGACCTCGGAGTGGTCGGCAAAGCCGTTGTCAGAAACAAACACGCTCCACCCTTGCAGCAAGGGCCGGCAGTCGACCAAGAACGGGACGCCCCAGTCATCCGGGTGCGTTTGCGCCTGCGGTATGATTGCCTGAACGTCCAAACAATGATGCCCTTTCACAACGGCATCTTCAACACGTGGGTCAGCGCCCTGCATGTGGAATTGCGTTGGAGGCAATTGCGCTGCGTTCGCAACGGCAGACTGCAACGTCTCCCCCCTGCTTCGGTCAAAGGAAACAAGGCGGTGCCCACTCTCGAAGACACAGCAGTAATAATGGCCCACCGGTCCCAGTGGCAAGTCCGGATCTGGGTCCCAGTCGTAGGGCCTGGCCAGCATCTGCGCAAGCGTTAGACTCGGGAGTGGGGGAATGATAGTGCGGATGAATACCAGCAGACTGCCGGGAGCTACTTCAGTTTCCTCGTCCTCTCCGAGCGGGCGGCGGTTGCCATGCACATACAAGTGCAGGCCTTCCTCGTTCGTGAAGCCAGCCATCCTGCACAGTACAGCCTTGTTGGTTAACCTCGGGACCTCTAAGGCAAAGAACCTGCCACCGGCCTGTCGAGCGTCGCAGCATACGATGGGCTCATTGAGCACCCAAGCCGGGAGCGCCAAGAGTGTGCCCCAATAGCGATCCGGTTGGGGCTCAACGATAACGAGCTGCGGATACAGCCCGTATCGTTGCGGATCCATGGCGTCTTCCACCGCATGAAAGGCATCGTGCAATGATGCATTGGCAGGAATGGCAATCTCGACCTGCTCAGACAGCAGATCGGGTGTGAGGAGAAGAAAGGTGGCATGTACAACGTCATCCTCTGCATCCGAGTCATCATCATCAGGGGGCAGATCAATCTCAAGCTCCTCTTCGAAGGCATCAAGAGTATCAATCTCCGCCTCATTGTCCTGTGTGTGTGGGACACCTTCATCGTGTCGCCATCCTCCTGCTGGGGCAGCAAGCCTCTGAGCAAGGGTAGGAGGGGGTGGTCGCCTGTACTTGGCGGCAGGCGGCGCATCCGAACCACAAAGTATGCAATCATCATACTCATCAAGAATGGTCGACGCAAGGATGGCTCGCTTGGCCGTGCTCATGTCGGCTGACAGAGCCTGTGTTCTCATTCGCAAGCAGGGCCAGCGCTTTTGACCTATACGCCCTACCGCGCAAAGAAGAGGCACAACAAGCCGAACAGCAATTTGGATTACCTCGCTCAGAAGGCAAAGGTGGCGTTGTCTGGGGGACCTACTGCGTTCCCTGTCATGGGGATGCCCGTTGCCGTCACCGCTAGAGTGTTCTGTGCCGCAGCTGCTTTCAGGTGTAATGGAGGGCCTAGTTGATTCCTCCGAACCCGGGGGAGAGGTGTCTCCATCGGGTTCCTCGGATGCGGTGGGGGTCTCCTCATCCGACTCAACATCACTTCGGAACCCAAAAACTAGGACATCCCCTTGTTGAACCGTTACATGGCTATCTGTTGTAGATGGCCTTGCGCTCGCAACAGCCATATGGTATGCAGGAGGGATTCGCAGGATCCCTGCATATCTGGCAAGATAGCTGAGCGGCATGTCCGGGCCTGGAACCCGTGCAAAGGTAGGCTCACAACCGACCTGCCGCGCGTCAAGGAACACACATATATCAGACTGCCCGTCACGGTCATTAACATGGTAGTCCAAGGCGGCGGCAACCTGTGAGCATTCCTGGCCTCTTATGGCGACGAGGGCCAAACCTCTTTGCATAGGCCGTACAAGCGTCACAATGGAGGGATCGCGGTTGATCAACTGACATGCGACAGCTTCCAGGTGCTCGACAGCAGAACAACACCGCAACCTGTCGAAACCAAGCAGGAGGCAACCGGGAGGCACAAGAGGAGGCAATGGGCAGGCGTTCCAACAGCCGCTGCTTTGCAACTTGACCTCAAGGTTGTCTGTTTTTGGCAGTCGGTTCCCCTTGGGGCAGAATTGAATCACTCCGCCGGGGATTGCTGTGAACTCACTATCAGCCTCGGCAGGTTCCTCACTGCCGAATAGGAAAACCTGCCAATCCATGAAGCCATGCGACCTTGCCTCAACCTCGAGCGCGTAAAATAAACCGGCCACGCAAATCTGCTTGGCGTATACAGGCCCAGCCAAGGCTCTGAAGTCGTAAACAATTACACACACGCCAAGCGCATCAAGCCAAGATCCACACAAGACAACAGACGCGTAACCTGCATGTAGTTGCGGAATGGTGGGCACAACAACCTTTGCAAACTCCAGGTTGAGCTGAGCAAGCCCTCGGGTCACCTCAGCAATTGCCTGTTGCGGGCTGGTACCTGGAACCCTGAGGGCTAAAGTAACAACCTCATCCTGAAACATCGGACAAAGCACCCGAAAGTGGCATTGAGGGAAATTGTTTGCCACTGCCATCTCTCCCGACAGCCAACTCTCCGCAGGGTTTGCCGCGTCGATGTTGTCACAGGGGCTCTCATTGGCGCCCATGTTGGTGCCAATAGAAGGGATATCAACGGCGCTGATCTCAAGTGGATCCGGAGTCATGCCTGCATTGGTAGGGCACGCAGTATGATGGATTTGCAGTGCCTCGTCGACTGCATGGCAGAATTCGGCAATCTCCTTAGGCGCCGCCCAGACTTGCCTAGGGAAGGAACTAAACCCGAGAAGGTAGGCTAAAACCATCCCTTGCCAAGGTAGCCTTACGGCTCGCTTGCTCGCTCCATGTCTTGGCACATGGCGCTTCAGATCCGTTCTCCCAGGATGGCGCGGCCAGTCATGGGAACAGGATGGACTGGCTCCGCGCAAAGGCAACAGAAGTGCAAGCGGCACCCAGGCGCAAGGCAATCTCACAGCACGGCCGACAATGGAGCGCCGCCAAGGCGCCTTGTGCACAAGTGTCTTCCACAGGGCAACCGTGATCACACCCTGCAAGGCCAAGGCAAACGAAGAAAGGTAAACACGCAACCGGCTGGCAATACCCATCCAGATGAATCTTGCAGTGTCACCACTATCATCCACATCATCAGGGGTGCCGCCAACAAAGGGAACATCATCACCCCAGTGTCGGGATTGTCTTCTCGAGTGAATCTCAATTGCACTGGCGAAAGGCCCTGAGCCACCGATCCTTTTCTTGGGCGCACAGGCAAAAGAGAGAGCAGGACTAGTTGTACAGCGTTGTGCATGGTGTGGCCGGGGCGTGGGGAAGCAAGCGGTTTCAAAAACCCAATGAAACCGTAGCCTCCGCGAGGAAGACGGACAAGCAACCCACGAGACACCACCCCCAAAAAGAGGGGGCACTCGGGGAGCCATCTGGCAACAGACAAGGAACCGACGAGGTGCACATGTCACGATGCATCGAAACGCTCCAGGGCTATACATGTAGCAGACCGGAAAAGCAGCATGTGAGAAACCGATACTGGGAGCGGCATAGCTGCAGAGCCGTACCACCCGACTGGGCAGAGCCGAGCAATGTGCCCACCCACGCACAATGCCAAGCCCGCCACTGCGGAGAGCACCACTCGCAGCCTTGCTGCCCCAGTACCGTCGTAAAGCTATTCCATGGTCCTCAGCTCGCCATCGGAGCCAAACAAAGACTCCTCGAAGTCCTCGTCGGGATCGTCCTCCACAAACTTTGCGTGGACTGGCCCGGAATGTGTGGGTATCATCGGGCCGGTCTCCGGGGCCGCAGCGCCCTCGACAGCCACTGCTGAAAGCTGCGCACGTCTCTCGTCCAGCTTGTCCGCAATCGTCCTGCCAGATGCGGCACCCGTCGGTGAAGGGGAAGCCTTGGCGGCTTCCTTGATGTTCTGCCTGGGCGGTTCCACAGACGTAGGATGCCGCGCCTTCTGGATGGGCCGTTGGCCTGTGTGTAGACCAGGCGAGGCATTCGGAGAGCTCAAGGTAGCCGGGTGTACAAAACCAGGGGCCCCTCCAAAGGTGGGCGTTCCGCCAACCTTCTCCGGGGCACCCATAGACGTAGCCGATGGGGACGTAATGTAAGGATCGATTGCCACTGGCGCCGGGCTTGTAGGCGGTGGTGTCATGGGAGCCACCTGTCTGGGCCGGTGCGTAGGCGTCCTCGGCGCCGGCGCACCCTCGTGTGGCGCAATTCCCTGTCTTGCTAGGGAGCGCCCGGCTTGCTGTGCGACTCCCAGGAGCCGCCCTATGTCCGCCATCATAGCTTGGCCGCTCGTGGTTTGNNTCCTCGCTGAGGTCCACATCCATCTGCATTGTACCCCCCGTTGGGATACCGCCCATTAGCTGCTGGTGTGCAGCTTCCTGTAGGGCAGTGACTTCGGCAATCTCCTCTTGCAGCTTCTGGCAGGCCTGGACATGCCTCTGCTTCTCTTGTCGCAGGCTCGCCTTCAATGAGGCCATGTATCGGTCCCAACAACCATGCTTTGCCTGAAGCTCCTTTTGCAACCGGGCCAGTTTGGTGTCCAGGCGGCGGGCATGGTTCACGGCGTTCTGCGCAGCTTGCACGAGGGACGGTGCTTCTTTGGCCTGGGAAGGTCCCAAGCGTCGCTCCTGCACCACCACCAACTCCTTCGGCTTGGCTGGCACCGCATCGTAGGCGGGGAAGCTCGGGCAGGACTGGTCCTCCCAAGCCTGGTTCTGTTGAGCTGACCTGGGCGAGCCCCAGGACCCACGCCAGTAGTCCCACCGTTTGGATTGCTCTTTGGCGGGTGCGCGCCATGGTCGTCCGCTCTTGCCCATCCGGGATCGTAGGGTCAGGAACGAAGAGGAGGAAGTCCCGTGGTGCCGCAACAACGCGGTGATGTTGGCCCAAGATGTCTGCTCACCCAGGGACAGGAGTTTCCGAGTTCGCGACCTTCTGGCGCGACCGCGTCGGTGCCAGGCCGGCGAGGAAGGTATGGCTCACAACGCGCGGCACTTGTGTGCCTTGGGGCTATCAGCTATCGCCAGCTGTTTGGCGTATTCTGAGCCCTC